GGAAGGCGTTAGAATACATCCGTAGCTACACGAAAAGTATAATATCTCGCACAGAACTCTCATATTTCGACCAGCGTCTCATACATATACCCTGAAAAGCGCTTTTTCGGGACTTAAAAATTGTTTAAAAAATTAAAAAATTATTTCTAACATCAGAACTCTTCGGAAGGCGTTAGAATACATCCGTAGCTACACGAGAAGTGTAATATCTCGCACAGAACTCTCATATTTCGACCAGCGTCTCATACATATACCCTGAAAAGCGCTTTTTCGGGACTTAAAAATTGTTTAAAAAATTAAAAAATTATTTCTAACATCAGAACTCTTGGGAAGGCGTTAGAATACATCCGTAGCTACACGAAAAGTATAATATCTCGCACAGAACTCTCAGATTTTGACCAGCGTCTCATACATATACCCTGAAAAGCGCTTTTCTCGGGATTTAAAAATTGTTTAAAAAATTAATAAATAACTTTTATCATCGGAACTCTTCGGAAGTCGTTAGAATACATTCAGTACTTCATAAAAATTATCATAGAACTCTCAGAACTGTCGAGAATTGGTCAGGGTCTTAGTTTTATTGCTGAAAATTAAATTTTTGGATTTAAACATCATTAAAAATTGAAAATAACATTGTTTATTGCCAGAACTCTTTTTAAAACTTATGTAGAACTGTTTGTTTTTCAAAATCCTACAAGAATCTGTGGTTAAAAATTGTCTAGGACAAAGTAAGACGCTGCGTGAACCTGGCGTCTCAGTTTGTACTTTCGCTTTTTTTCCACTTTAGAGGTCAGAACTATTAGTTTCATCTATCAGGAACTATAGAACTATACATAGAAAATACATTCAGAACTCTCAATATTTCATGAGCTTCCACCAAATGATGCGCCAGCTTCATACACACGAATTAATTCACAAAAACGTAATGATCATGTCATATTATTTTACTAATATATATTCTTAGGTCATGATGATCGAGTAGGAAGACATGGGAAAGATGGAAGACACCAGGGTCATATGAAGCACCGTGTGTCATTTAAGACCTATACGCCTGACAACTTGGCTCGTAATTTGACATTTGTTAATTTGGATGACGACATTCCGATGACTTCGAATAACAATTCGAGACATGTGATAATGAATTCGAATAATCGAGAACGAGGGGAACATTGGCGAACTGTTCCTCGTGGGAGGAACAGTCGTATGCCAAATAGAAATTTTAAGAGAGGTCAGTCAGGTTCTAGACGACTTCCTCCTTTGAGAGAATTCAATTGGTATAGAGTTAGTGTAAGTTTATTTCTGTGATATTATACTGAAGTACTTGCACAATAATATAAAATACTTAGTGCACCTAAAGTATCTACTTATACACTAATGTAAAATGATTATACAATAATTTAAATTTTTAATTGTATTTTATAGATACCATATGGTCAGAAGTACGAAAGGGATTTTATTATAAATACCCTTTTGAATTACATTGCGCCCGATGTATTTGTACCCATAGTGGCAAGTAACACTTATTAGAAAATACATATTTTTTATTTAATATATACCTTATTATCTTTAAGTAATTTTTTAGCTCTAATATAACAGTTTTTTTTAGATTTAATATAATATAGTTAAATTCTAGTGTAAAACCGTAAATTCTTATAGCTGAATTATAAAATTTATTTACAGTACAAAACATCTGCAACTGATGCCAGTTTCTACATAGACGATTATAAGACGGCAGTTGCATTGCAAAACTGTGATTATAAGATCAAAATGAGTGATGGATTTAAATTGCAAGTGAAAGTGAAACCAGGATTTCCAGTTTATGACATTGATGATAAATTGAAGGAAAGGTTAAAACAAGCAATGGTTAAGAGATATGTACAAGATACCAATGCTTTGAATTTGTCCAAGTTCTATCTTGATTCTGGTAAGAATAAAAAGTTATGAAACTATAAGTATAATGAAGATGATAATGTATTAATTAAAAATATTAATTAATATAACTTGGGAGTTTTTTTTAACATAAATATATTTGTCTTATAGATCTTCGCTCTGATTACTTTTGTGCATTGTTCCATCCGGTTATGATGATGACTGTGTTGGACGTTGTAGCGGAACACATACCGAATTTAGAAGCTTTGAGCTTAGAAGGAAATAAGTTGCAGAATATTGAGAGACTTAGTATACTGACTAAGAAATTCTCAAAATTGAAAATTTTATATATTGGTGATAATAAGGTGAGTTTATTTAAACAAGAAAATATAAAATTGTTTAAAATTGTCGTTAACATAATAATGCTCGGGCTTAATCTGAGTTAATTGTGTATTCTAGATCAGAGACATCCATCAATTAGATGCTATTAAGGATTTAAAACTGGAGGAATTGAAGTTAACTGGAAATCCTGTCTGTAATAAGTATAAATCTCGACAAAATGACTATGTTAGGTAATATATTGTTCTCTTTTACAGAGAAACAGGAAGCATTAAAAATAATCTGTTAATTTCTCTTTCTCTCTCTGTTCATAAGATGGTATTCCACAGATCATTTCATACTTATTTTGAAAACTTTCTTAGTAAACATTTTTTATTTAAAATTTATTCTCCATTAAATTAAATAGTATTTATATTAAATTGAATGCAACGTTTACTGTTATTTGTATAACAAAGTATATATATTTACTCTCAATTTTAATAATATATAAATAATATATAACATATAATTACTGTGATATATATATATATATGTATATATGTTATACTGTTATATACATAACAGTAATGTTCTATTTAAAGATGTAATGTATTTTTAAATTTTGTGAATTTTTATAAAACTGCTGGTATAATTTTTAAATTTGAAGTGAACAATTCATATTCTTCCTTATATTATTTGATAAATCTGTGTATTTTTTAAAACATTTTTTATTATATAGACGATCCGGTCTTTTTCTTTTTAATTGTAGTGATGTTCGAAGACGATTCTCAAGATTACTGCGTCTGGTAAGTATATCACGCACAGTTTTACATTTTGAAATTGTATTTTTTTTATGTAACATATGATTTTATTTTGCTGTTCGTATTATCTGCAGGATGGCACGGAACTACCACGACCGATTGTTTTCGATATGATGGTTGAACCTGCTATAATTCCTTCGTCGCAAAGGATGTTTGTCCAAGATGCAAAAGCTAAAGAAATTGCAAGTCAATTTTTGCAACAATATTTTACGATATTCGATAGTGAGAATCGTCAACCTTTACTGGATGCCTATAATGAACATGCATCCTTTAGCATGACAATAAACACTTTCAATAATAACAAGTAAGTATTTGCAATGTTGCAAAGTTTTATTTTCTCTTTAACAAGAAAATTCTCTACTCTGAAAAAAATAAAGGAAAGTTTCGTAACTTTTTATCTTTTAATGCAGAAGTTTTTACTAGACTAGAAAATGGTTTTAACTATTCTTGTGCTGTGGATATAGTTAAAAAAATTTTAGTATTAAGTGATGGTACAATCGGAAATTGTTTAACCAAAATTATTTTTGTTACAGGTTAAATGGACATTATTTAGAAAATCGAAATTTACTTAGAGTAAATGATACGATTCGAAGAGAGAAATTTTTGAAACAGGGTAGATTACCTGTAGTTTCTCTTATATCAGAAATGCCGCGTACAAGGCATTTACTGAATACTTTTACTATGGACATCTCTCTTGTTACAGTAAGTAGCTATTTATTATTATATGGTCATATGTATATTGTTATGTGTCATATATTATATAATAAATTGTTCACAATTTATTATATAAAGAAATAAAGATGAACTTGTATAATTTATTTTTTATTTATTTACAGCAAACAATGATGTTCATTACAATAACGGGCTACTTCCAACAACTCAATATCAAGGAAGAGCCCATCCGCTATTTCAACCGCACCTTCATAATTGTTCCGGAAGGTGAAAGATATTGCATCCGAAATGAGCAGTTGCATATTAGTCAACCATCTCAGGTGCAGTTAAAGGAATTGCACCAGCAACTGAATCAGTTAAATGCTCAGCAAACTCAATCAGAAATGGAGACGCTGAGTTCCACAGAAGTGGTGAAGCCTATCGCTACGGAACTTTATGACGAGCTGAAGAAGCAAATGGCATTTACTATACGTTAATTCCAGAGAATGGAAAGTTACTTTTTAAAAGTAACTAGTTACAGTTACTCGTTACCGAGTAAAAAATGTAACTAGTTACAGTTACAGTTATCGCTTTTTAAAAGTAACTCGTTACAGTTACCAAAAAAAGAAAGTAACGCAGTTACCAGTAAAGTTACCAAAAAAGTAACTTGTAACTGTAACTTCGTTACAAGTAACGAGTTACTTCCATTCCCTGAATCATATAATAATAGTTCAAGTGCGTGAGATAAACTATTCATTCTTTACTCTTCTTCCCAAACTGCCGTCATCTTGGCGCCGCCAAGGAGCTTGCTTCAACCATATGATAAAGTTACTGAAGCAATTTCTGGAATTTCTGCTTCCGATCTTTTATCTAGAACGGCACCTATTAACATACAAGTTTTACATATTTTATTAAAAAGAAACTATAAGTAAGAAATTAAGATATTTACAGAAAATATTTGTTTTTTAGATGCTTACATTCTATTGTATGAATAAACCAATACAAAATTTTGTCAAATTGTAAAGTAGTATTGAAAAAGTAATTTACAGTTGTTCAAGAACAAGATAGTTAAATGGAATAATTTAGTATATTTGTAATATTACTTAAATAATATAATAATTTATTTATAATCATAGAGATTTTTTTTTATTTTTATATATATTAATACAATATAAAAATTTCAAATAAGATCATAATATCAATATTTGCTTTTATTTTGAATAATTTATAATGTTAAGGTTATTACCTTGAACAACTTCGTATAAAGTTAACTTCTCAAAACATTTTTTAGACTGATTTGAACCACCTTTCAAAGAAAATGTAGATGCCAGTGTATTTGAAATGAGTTTCTTCAGTACTTTATATGTTGCTTCCTTAGTATTATCTTTAACCCTTTGCGGCATAGTGACACTCCTGAGTGTCACCTTTTTCTGTACACTTTTTTACATTTTTGAAACACTATTTAATTAGTTTTAATGACAAAAAGCATATAAAATGTATTAGAGAACATCCCTTCATAGAAATAAAAAAGAAAACAAAGGTTATTGTTAATTAATTGAACGTTATAAATAAATTA